CAGAGAGTGCAGGGGCCTGACCCTTCACCTACCTGGTACAGGGGGGTCCTCTCCTTTCTGCACACAGGGACTCCCCTGTCACCCCAGCGTCCAACTGAATGCTGAAGCTGCACGGTTCTGCTGAGACCTCAGCACAGACCAGCATCCACACTCTGAAAATCCAGCACTTCCTGTCACTGCGTGGCTGTGTGACCCTGAACAGTTTGTCTGTCAGAAGCAAAGTTGGTGACTTTGGATTCTTTCCAGCTCTTGCACTCTGGGACCCCTGCAGGTTGCAGAAGGTACATCAAGGTCACGTGGCGTTCCCAGAGAGGGGGGTCCCCCATGTTCCCCAAGTCCATTGGTTGGCTGCTCACCATGTAGCTGCACAGAGTGGACGTGGAGGGCTCTCTGGAAAGGACATCAGTGTGGCCCACTGGTCCCCACCAGACCCTGCATTTGTGCTTCACTGACTCTGCTCCACAAGTGCAGTGCTCTGAAAGACTGTCGCCTCCCTAATTATCTCCTCCAGGTCCCAGTGATCTTCTGTCACTTCGACCTCCTTTCACATCACCATCGTTCAGTCTTGGATCTCAGAGAAGCCATCGTCTCGTCTCCCATTTTTGTCCCCACTTAGGAAACCTCCTGCCCACTACTGCCCACTCCTGCCCACTCCTGCCCAGGGCTACTCACATCCTTGGCCCCAAGATGCCCACACCTCTGCTCCATCCCCCTTGGCGTGGTTGAAATCTTGGCCTTACTGGTGTGGCTCTGTCTACTAACCTAGGTCCTCCTCATCTTGCGTCCTGGCCCGAGGCCTGTCGGGGCCTCTCTCTCTCAGCGCCAAGGACTTGCAGACTGCGACTACATGAAAGGCATCAGAATGCAAGAGAGACATCTAAAAACAAAGTCATAATCTTATTAAAGTTTGACACCACTGACAAATGGCGAGGTCCTCTCTTACCCGCGGGGGCCTCTGGGCATCTTTCCTGATCTCTCTGGCTGCACTGGTCTCATAGACCGGGTACTGGTTTCACTCCGGTTTCTATTACGGTAATGCTGCGTAACAACCAGCTCCAGGCCAGTGACCTCCAACAAGAGCTTGTGTCTTGTTCATGATCACGAATCTGTGCTGCTGCTGTTGGTTGTAGTGGACTTAGCTAGGGTTGGCTGGCGGTTATGGGCAGAACATGTTTAGCTCTGTGTCACCCTATTGTGTCACTGTGTCACAGTATCACATCCACCACTTTACAATGGTTTGTATGATTCAGCATGGCTTTCTCTGACCTGTTGAAGGGCCTGGCTGTGGGCTGGCTGTGGCTTCCTGAGCACCATTTCTGGGCGTGAAATCACTGGTACCCAGAGAGTAGAAAGTGGGACTGGGAAGGCCAGACAGGCCAGCCTTCGACTCCTGAAGCCAGGTCTTTACTGACTGAATTATTACCCTTGTCTCAGTGTGTTTCCCCACATCCAGGCCCTGCAGACGTCCTGTGTGCAGTGCGATTCCTGTTCTCATCCGGTGAGCGACACAGTTTTCCCCTCTGTGTGCTTCTTTACATAAGGAATAAAGATAGTGTGATTCTCAAACAGGGAACCAAAATGGCCTGGGACTCGTCTCTTAGCCCCGTGTTGTTTTGCAATTTAACAGGTATAATCCCGCTTTCTACTCTGTGTTGTTAGTGACCTCGTAGAAAAAGGGCTACAGTGATATTCATCCCTCAAAATGCGTGAATCTTTATGGCTCACTGTGACTTGCACAGAAGACATGGCCCGGTTGGCTCACGTGGTCAGTTGCCAGGATGCTGTGGTCACTCTGCTGATTCCATCCCACCAGAGCTCGGCTCACAAAAGCAAGATTGGTAACAAAAAAGAACCTTTAGATCAGTATTGAAATTTGTATCCTCAGGAATCTAATTGCCTTTATTTCCTTCCTGTGTAATGAAGGGAGGGTCTGTGTCTTCCTAGAAGGACCCCGGGGCCCAGGGATATCAGAGGATCTCCTGGCTCAAGCCCAGGTGGCCGCATGCTTCAGAGTTTGATTGTCCTGTCTTCTGTAACTCTCCCTTCTCACAAATCCGTGGGCAGGATTGCTCCACGGTGGGGCCTGCTGAGAAGTGGCACACGGCGACGGGAAATAGAATTCAAGGCTAAAACTCAAGAGACGTGGAAACTGACACTTTCAGATGAAAGAAAAAGGCTAAGTATAGAGAAGACGAGAAACATGCTCCAGTTAGAAAACCAAGTGACCTGGTTTCCCATAGTGCTTAGTCCTCTGAAGCAGGGGGCTTGTTTAAATAAGCGTCTGTGATCCGCCGTTTCCAGATATTTTTTCATCTGGATTTCAAGCCAAAGACCTCTTAAGACTCCATGCCCCTGAGGGACCATGACTCCCAGCAGGGACTGTGCTGGGGGTGGGGCGGGGACAGGACACAGCCACGTCGCCTTACCAGGGCCACGCCACCAGGACCACGCCACCAGGGCCACGCCACCGTGACCACACCACCAGGGCCATGCCACCATGACCACACCACCAGGGCCACGCCACCAGGGCCACGCCACCAGGGCCACGCCACCGTGACCACACCACCAGGGCCACACCACCATGACCACACCACCAGGGCCACGCCACCAGGTCCACGCCACCACGAGCACGTCATGGCCCCAGCAGGCAGGCTTTACTGAAAGGGACCACAGTGTCTTCACCCAGAGGGTGACGGAGGTGACAAAGTTGGGTGTCACTTAAACAGACACAGTGATTTAACGCCTCTCAAGCTTACCAACAAGTGATGTCTGAGCAGCACTCCTTTCCTGTGGCAGCCCAAGTGGGGACTTAGGTACAGTAAGAACCTGCACTAATCTGCCAGGTCAGGGGCTTGGTGCTGGCTGGATCTGCTTTCAAACAGTTGCACACCTCCTTCGTCTGTGAGGCTTCAGAGGAATTACTGTTTATCTTTAAGACAACTTTCGTATTATGTGTCATTGTTCATAGCACATACTGTAGGTCGACTGTTACACACTTCACTGTATATGATGTGTAGCTGAAAAATGCTGTGTACACGGGTGTGGTAGTGCACGCCTGTCATCCCAGCACTCAGGAGGCTGAGGCGGGAGGATCTTTGTGAGTTCGAGACCAGCCTGGGCTACAAAGTGAGCTCAAGGCCAGCCTGAACTGCATAGTGAGATCCTATCCTAAGAAAAAAAAAGTGCAGTGTGGTTACATTAAAAATATTTTATTATGGAAAAAGACACACGGCCAGTAATGCCCCTGGAGACCCCTCTCACTTTGAATATACTCGTCTCCTCGTTCCTGCCGCTTTCCAAGCCGCTCTGGAAGTCCTCTTTTGTGAGCATCTTTAGCTGTGCTGTGTGGCTGTCTTGAGGTCCTGAACTGATGAGGGCAGCCATGGCAAAACTTCTGGAGCCCGAAAGCCCAGACTGCCCACTCTCTTGTCACAAAGCACCAGCGCTGCAATTCACCCAAGCACTGAGGTTTCCGTTTAGAGAAAACCACTCGTACCTTAGCATCTTTCCTCCTAAAAAGAAAAACACAGTGACACAGCGGCCTCAGGCTCGCTCTCGTGCCCTGCAGGGTCCCCTTCTCAGGGTCACTCTGACTCCGAGGAAGAGCCGGAGATCACTCGGTGCCGGCTCTGCTGGGAGTGGAGGCCGAGGACACGAGGCGATGTCTTGTCATGTGTTAGACACTGCATGGTGCATAGCTTACACGACTTTACATCTCTATAATATAATGTGTTATTAATATATGCGATCTATTGTATCAAAATCTATCACACACGCTATACTGCACATCAAATTACCTCTGTCGTGTGGGGTTCTCTGTGGCTCTGCACCTGTATTCTGATGCTATATATTATATTTATATATTGTCCATCAACAAGTGAAGGGACACCTGCCTCAGTCCCCGTGAACTGCTCCACCTGTCTGCAATGAGTGTTGAAGTTACACATGCTGTCAGGATGCTTCTCAGTAATTTAAGGCTGCAGGAAAGCAATCAAGCTACGGGATTAGTTATGCATGTAATGTGGTAGATGTGGCTGTTTCAGTGCTAAGTTTAGGCACTTTTGTTTTTCTCTCCTGGCTTCAAGTCATTTGAGATGTGGACACTCGAGCTGGGCAGATGGCCGTAAAAATATAATTCAGGTCAGAGCTGGATAGAAGGACTTAGTAAGGTTTCCAAAAATACACATAGATCACGTCCCCCTTGGCTCACAAACCTCCAATCTGCTTTGGTTTGACTCACAGTCATGCCTGAGGGCTGCATCAGGGCCCAGGAACCCGCACGGCCCCGAGCGCACCACCCTCACAGCCCCGTCCGTTGATTCTGCCCTGCCAGCCCTGCTCCAAGCACCTTTCCCTCTGGGCCTCCTGGCACACGCAGCTCTGTCTCCCTAGGAAAGAAGCTGGCTCAGGCTGCACCCCTCTTTCCTGAGCACCGCTGATCCTGGTCTGATGGACACCCAGGACTGGAGCCTCCAGAGCTGCTCTATCTGGAATCATCAGCTGCTCTGTTCCAGTGTGAACCTAGCAATTAGAAAAAGACCGAATTGCTGTATTCAGCGTACTTTTTATTTACTTGCACTCATTAGCACTCAGGAGACTGAGGAAGGAGGATTGCTATGACTTTGAAGCCAGTCTGGGCTACATATTGAGTTTAAGACCAGCCTGAGCTACATAGTGAAACCCTGTTCTAAAAACAAACAATCAGAAACCAAAACTAAAACCCAAAAAAACTCCCAAAATTATTTACACTCATTGGAATGCTAATAAGCTATATTAAAATACACTCATAAGTTGCAAATATAGTATAAAACACAAATGTCATTGCACTTAAACATAAATGAGGAACCAACACATCTTTGCTTATCTCGTGATGATTTCTTACTATTTTAAATTAGTATGTCAGAAACACTATACTTATGTTATCACCATTGTTAGCAACAGCAACTACAAAGTCAACATTTCCACTGTCCTTTTACCAAATTTCAGATATCGCAGCCAACTTCCTGACAACGCTCTCGAGGTCCTCATCCTCTTAACCTTGTGACGTGCGAGAGGAAGGTGCCCTGCTAGAGACAGAGAGGAGCAGGGGCTCGGCCACTCTCTTCAGATGACTGGACCGATATTTATTCAGGGCCGCCTTGTGCAGGAATGCAAGCCCACAGGGCAGCCCACGCGCGTCCCCTCTGTGTCACCTCCAGACGCCACAGGAAGCCTGCGACTTAGTGCCCGCCTGCTGTCTGTCGGATAAGTGAGTGCCGTGAGGGTGCGGGAGGCCCTGGAGCACCCCTGCCCGGCTCTTCCACTCCTTTCAGCTGCGAACGCTGGACGGGCCTCGCTTTTACCCTGCAGGCCACAGCTCACTCGTGCAGCTCTTCCTCCTGTCCCCGCACATGGCCCAGCCGCAGGTGGGATTTGCTCTGCCCCACTTTGGAGTCAGCCTCGGAGGTTAACCCCGCTCTGGGGCGCAGAGGGGTCTCCATCCTCCCCCCAGTGGGCTGTCTTTGGTGTCTCTCCCCGGAGCTTGCTTTCCATCTCTTTGCTGTACTGGAGACTTTCCTGACGGTCTTGTTGGGAAAGCATTATTAGTATTTGTGGACAAAAATGGTTGCTTTTGAGAAAGTATGCTTTCAAGTGACTCCCCAGTACATGGCTGAGCCCGTGATTGTACAGTAAACTGTATCTTGAAATGATGTGCTGCGTAAGGGTTGAGTACAGACTTTTGTTAGTGGGGAGAAGATGCAGCAGAGTTGGTAATAAACAGCTTAGAAACCTGGAACGCGTCTTCCTACAGCAAGTGCTAAAGTGAACCATGAGAATGAAGAAGTCCACACTCTGCCCTTGGCTGTCTCCGGGATGGCGATGCCTACGAGAGGGACATGAATCCGGCTCGGTGCTTCCTCCACTCTTCCCCGGACAGCAGTGCTGGCTAAAGGAGCCATCCTGGGGCACAGACACCTCCCAGGAAAGCCTCGACACCAGTGATCAGGCTATCTGACATCAGAAATCCACAGGCACCCACACAGAAAACAAACAAAACCCAGAAAATGACAAGATGAGAAAGCAAAACAGAATCAGCATGTCCAGCCCACCCAGGACAAGTCCAGGACACAAAGAGACAGAGGAAGTCGGAAGCCAGCAAGCGGAACTCTCTGAAATGACAGCAGCGGAAGTGAAAAAAAAAAAAAATCTCAGAGGTGCCAAAAGAAATGACTAACAAAATAAAAGACCTCGAAGTAGACGCAAATAAAGGAATAGAGGAGCTCAGGAAAATGATGGGAACCACAAATGCCAAGTCTAGATAAGAAATGGAATCAATTAAAAAACAGATCCACACAGAAGTGCAAGAAACTAGAAGCTACATTGGAAATACGTGCAGCAGATTGAAGGCAGGTGAGGATAGCGTATCAGATCCAGAAAACAGGACTATGACCAGTGACTGGGAAAGAAAGATATCAGAAAAATCACAAGAGACTGTGAAAAATCAGTCCAGCAGCTACAGGAGGAAGCAAGCAAGAGCAGGGTAAGACTGACTGGCGTTAGCAAGAAAACTGGAGACAGAGCAAAAGCCGTCAGAAACCTCTTCACAGAAATAATGGCAGGAAATTTCCCAAACAGGGACAAAGAATTTGATATACAAATAAATGAAGCACATAGAACTCCAAATAGCCATCACCAAAATAAGTCTATACCAAAGCATATAGTAATGGAGACTCCAGAAATTCAGCACAAGGGCAAAATACTGAACAAAAGAAACATATCATCTATATAGGAAAGCCCATCAGAATCACAGCAGACTTCTTAACACAAACCCTAAAATCAAGAGGAGCTTAAAGTACTTCAAGCTCTAAAGGAAAATAATCTTAAACCCAGATTGATGTACCCCACAAAACTATCTTTCAAAATTGATAGAGAAATAAGATATTTCCATAAAGAAGAGCAACTGAAGAAGTTTATTATCACTACACCAGCTCTGTAGAATGCTCTGAAGGACATATTGGAAAGAGAGAATAAAGGCCACAAGCATAGAAACATTAACAGAAAGAAGCCTCCAGGCAGGGTAGCAGTTAAAGGGAGCAGAAAGACAGGAACAAACAGCAGGGGCCACGTGGAAAGGAAAAATGAATATATCAGTTGTAACCATCAATGTAAACGGTCTCAATTCACCAATCAAAAGAAACAGACTGGATGAAGAAGCAAGATCCAACAATATGCTGCATTCAAGAAACACATTTAACTAAAAAATAAAATCATAGACAAAAAGGCAAAGGATGGAAAACAATTCTCCAGGGCACAGGAACCCAGAAGAAAAAAAAAGAAAGCAGGAGTAGCTATTCTATTTGCAGACAACGCAAACTCTGAGCCAAAACTAATCAAAAGAGATAAAGGTCACTACATACTCATTAAGAGAAAACTCCAAGAAGAAAAGAGATAAAAATCATAAATATTTATGTAGCAAGTACAGATTCACCCAACTACATAAAATAAATATTAATTGACATGAAAAAGCAAATAAGCACTAACATGATTGTAATGGGGGACCTTACTACCTCACTCTCACTAATGAATAGGTCAACTAGACAAAACATCAACAAAGAAATATAATTAAGGTGAACCTGTGAACAAATGGGTTTTGTCGGTGACTACAGCATGTCCCTCTCCCAAAGGTCAGATATACACAGTCTCAGTTTCGCAAGGAGCACTCTCCAAAATAGATCATATATTAGCTGATGAAAGATATTTAAGAAATGTAGAGGAATTAAAATCACCCCATGTGTACCTCTGACCATAGCACTGTGAAACTGAAAATCACAACAAAGGAAACCACAAAACCTGCACAAACACATGGAAATTAAACACCTCCTATCTGAACAACAAATGGGTCACAGAGGAAATTAAGGATACAATTAAACAGTATGGACAGTTAAACAGTATTGCCTATACAACGTACCAAAACTTATGGGATGCAATGAAATCAATCCTATGAGGGAAATTTGTAATGATGAACTCAACCATCAGAAAAACAGAACAAGCTCAAATAAACAAACTAATATCAAACTTCAAACTAAAAAGAAGAACAAATCAAACCCAGAGCTCGTATGAGTGAGGAAATTACAGGAATAAGAGTAGAAGTTAATGCAATAGAGACTAAGAAAAAATACAAAGAATCAATGAATTGAAAAGTGGGTTCTTTGAAACAATAAATAAAATTGATAATTCACTAGCCAACCTTATCAAAAAGAGGCACTTAGGAATGCAAAAATCCCTAATAAGATCCTGGCAAACAGAATGTAGCAAATCATCATGAAGATTATACACCATGACCAAGTAGGACTCATCCCAGGGATGCAGGGATGGCTCAACATACATAAATCAATAAATGTGATACAGAACATTAACAGATCCAGAGACAAAAATCACATGATCATCTCAGTAGATGCAGAAAGAGCATTTGACAAAGTCCAACATCCATTCAGGATAAACATCCTATAGAAAATTGGAATATATGGTCTTTACCTCAATGTTATGATAGCCATCTGTGACAAATCCACAGCTAATGCCATATTACATGATCAAAAGCTGAAAACTTTCACTCTAAAGTCAGAAATGAGACAATGATGTCCATTATCACCACTCCTATTCCATATAGCTCTGAAAACATTAGCCAGGGCAATTGGACAAGAGGAAAAAAATTAAACAGAAGAAAGATAGGAAAGGAAGAATTATCATTATTTGCAGATGACATGACACTATATAAAAGACCCCCAAAGCTCCACCAAAAAACTATAGATTTAATGTCTGAATTGAGTCATACAGGGAGATACAAAGTCAATACCCAAAAGTCAATAGTATTCCTGTACACAAGCAACAAATTCACAGAGGGAAAGTACACTTTCTGTGATCACACACACACACACACAAATGAAATACTTAGGAATCAATCTAACAAAGGATGTAAAAGATCTGTATCGTGAAAATCATAATATCCTAAAAAGGAGGTTGAAGGAGATATCATAAAATGGAGAGATATTCCTTGCTCTTGGATAGGAAGAACCAACATAGTGAAAACAGCTACATTTCCAAACCCGTTATACAGATTTAGTGCAATCCCAATCAAAATCCCATTAGCATACCTCACAGATCTAGAGAAAACACTGAAAAACACTTGAAACCAGAAGAGACCTAGAATAGCAAAAGCAATTCTGGGCTAAAAGGCAAGTCAGGGGGTATCACAATGTTGGGAGCCGCGGCCGAGCCCGGTCGCCTTACTTGGCGGACGTGAGGCCTGTAGGAAAGAGAAAAGCCTGAGCTAGATTACCCCTCCCATCGAGTATGCTAAGATGGTGCTTACTTCCTGCTTGGTAAACAACCCGCCCTGTAAGATCTCCTGCTTCCTGCTTGGTAAACAACCCGCCCTGTAAGATCTCCTGCTTCCTGCTTGGTAAACAACCCGCCCTGTAAGATCTCCTGCTTCACAACCCGCCCTGTAAGATAGTCTGCCTAGCAACAACTGATGTTAGCCAATCAGCCCGCATCGCGCGCTTTGAACTGATTGGCCACTGTTACCCTATAAAAGTGAGTGCCTCTCCCGCCACGAAAAAAAAGAAGCAGAAGAAGCACGCAAGGAGCCGCGGAGAGCGGACCGGTAGAGGCTTCGGGACAGACTGTAGGGAGAAGTACGCAAGGAGCCGCGGGGAGCGGACCAACAAAGGCTTCGGCCGGGAGGATTCCCAGGGCAGGCTGTACGGAGAAGGAAAATAAAAGAAAAGGTTGTCCACTGCCAGACTTTGTTGTGTGTCCTTCCTGCCGGCCGGGAGTGACACCGACATCTGGTGGCCCGTACGGGGAGCTGATCACCCCCGAGACGTGGCAGTGGACAACGCTCCAACGCAGAGCTGCAAGACAGGTGAGTAGAGGATAAACCTGGGCCCTGGGTGGCGCGCACCTACAGGGTTTGTAGACTCCTCTCAGGCTCACGCGTAAGTGGCGGATTCCTTGGGCCTCACGCGGTGAGTAACATATTAAAAAATGGGAAACATGCTAGGTAGCGGCACTAAGAGTGAGGGTGGTTGCGGGGAAAGCTCTCAAGAGCTTACAAAAGTACGCAGGGTATTTGAGCAGGCCCAGTCAGGGAGCTCCCGAGAGGGGTCCGTCAAGGGGAACAAAGATGCTAAGGAGGAGGACGGGGCTCAAGCCTCGGAGTCGTCTGACTCCGAGGACGAGGGAAGGTTGAATGGTGAGGAGGCCAAAGAGACCAGCTGTCAGGGGCCTAAGTCGCTTGATGGGGAGACGCAAGGCTCTTTCGCTGTGTTGCGCCGCGAATTGCGCTCCGCTCAGCTAGGCTTACGAAAAAGCAGAGAGCTTCTGAGCGCCCCCTGGCAGGGGAGGGAGACAGAACCTTCTGCTCCGCCCTGGAACTCGTTCCCGGAAGCGGTCCCTCACCGCGAGACCGCCGCATGGGAACTCCCCCCTCTTCCGTCAGTACAGGAAATAACGCACAGGCCGCCATTTTCTACCCAACCGCGGCCGCCATCTTATGATGCTCCGCCGCCGGCGGGACGTTATTTCCACAGACAGCTGTGGCATGGGGGTCGTGTGTCTAATGAAGACCACCCGTTCCCAGGGATAGATAGCGGCCCCTATGGGATATATCCTGTACAGATGGCCATGGGTCAGGGACGTAATGTGTGGGAACCCTTTGAAATAAAGCAGATTAGAGAACTTAAAAATGCAGTTACAACCTTTGGGCCGACTGCGCCTTACACCATTGCCATGCTGGAGAACCTGTCTTCTGGGCCCCTCACCCCCGCGGACTGGACTCAGCTGGCAAAGGCGTGTCTGCCCTCGGGTAGTTACCTGGATTGGCGAGCCTGGTACGCCGAGTTCGCTGCCGAACAGGTGGAAAGAAACGCAAAAGCTATTGGGAGACATTAATTGGATTAGGCCATATTTACACATACCAAATTCAGATCTCAAACCCCTGTTCGACCTTCTGAAGGGAGACCCAGATATAGCCTCCCACAGGAGGCTCACTCCTGAGGCAAGAGCTGCCTTACAGAGAGTGGAGGAAGCCTTAGGTGGGGCTACCTTACACAGAATTGAACCAGGGCGACCCTTTGACGTCTGTTTGCTACAGACTAGTCTACAGCCCACAGCGGTGATTTGGCAGAAAAGACCACTCCTGTGGGTACACCCTAAGGTCTCACCTGCAAAAGTCATAGAGCATTACCCGGAGGCAGTCGCTTCATTGGCCCTTGAAGCGCATGATAGAGCTGTCCAACATTTTGGCTCAGGACCACAAGCTATCCGAGTACCCTATACCGCCAGCCAGATCAAGACCCTGGCTGCCTGCATAGATGCTTGGGCCATTTTGAGATGTGTTTTCCATGGGGATATAGACAATCAATACCCTAAAGACCCTATCTTGTCATTTGTTACTCAGCACCCTGTAATTTTTCCAAAGGTTACTGCCTCTGAGCCATTAGTCCCAGCAACTACAATATATACAGATGGCTCCAAGACGGGGATAGGCGCCTATGTGATCCTAGGCAAGCCCCCGGTTACCATACAATTTGAACCAGATCAGCCTCAGGTGGTGGAACTGCAGATCGTTAAAATGATTCTTGAAAGGTTCTCAGGACCCATTAACATTGTCTCCGATTCTAGGTATGTGGTCAATGCTATGCAAGTGCTTGAGACTGCCGGTTTAATTAGATCCACTTCCACAGTGGCTGGGCTGTTCCTGTCTATCCAGACATTGCTTCAGAACAGACACCATAAGGTCTTCACCACCCACATAAGAGCACATACATCCCTGCCAGGGCCTATGGCACAGGGGAATGCGGCTGCTGACACTGCCACTCGCCCGTTATGGATTTTTACCTTACTAACACCAATCGAGCGAGCCCGTGCCTTCCATGATAAGTTTCATGTCAATGCCAGGACACTAGCAAACCATTTCCATGTTCCCAGAGCAGATGCACGAGATATCGTGCGACTATGTGACTCCTGTGCCACATACAAACCTGCCATACCGATGGGAGTAAACCCTTGAGGTTTGATCCCTGGTGATGTTTGGCAGATGGACATCACACATATACAGGAATTTGGGACTCTTAAATATGTTCATGTTTCCACAGACACCTGTTCTCACGTCATATTTGCAACAGCAGAAACAGGTGAAAAAGTGTCTAATGTGATCAATCATTGCCTGGCGGCTTGGGCCGCATGGGGCAAACCAAAAATATTAAAAACTGATAATGGATCAGCCTATATAGGCAAAGCCTTCAATGAGTTCTGCAAAATGATGGAGGTTCAATTAAAACATGGTATCCCATACAATCCCCAAGGTTAAGGAATCATTGAGAGGGCTCATAGAAGCCTCAAAGAAATTTTACAAAAACAAAAAGGGGGAGTAGGCCAAGGCCTGGCCCCAAAGGCACGATTATCCATGGCACTATTCACACACAATTTTTTAAATTTAAATAATGATAATTGCTCCCCAGCTATGGAGCACTGCAACCCTTCCCCCAACCATAAAGGGTGGGTTAAATGGAAAGATGTCCTAACAGGACAATGGATGGGCCCGGATCCGGTGGTTAGCTGGAACCGAGGCGCGGTTTGTGTTTTCCCACAGGAACCGGGACGAGAACCACTGTGGGTACCGGAGAGACTGACACGGGCAACAAAGCCCTCGACTGAAGATCAGACCTGCCCTACCGGAGATCCATCACAGACCAACCAACAAGATGAATAGAAATAGCGGTAGCCCAAAATGGACAAAAAGATCCTCAGGCATATGCATGGCTCGCTCGCCTAGCCTACGACCGAGTCTAGGGGCGGTGAGCTTCCCACACTCCTCCTCTAAAAAATTATGACATAGCTGGGTAGGAGAGTCAATGACGGGTAAGAGCGTACTCCCCCGGTGCGACTCAACCTAAGCCAGGCCCTACCCCATCCTGCACGTAAGCCGCTGGACTGTTAGATGCTGCCCAGGTCTAAATTTCTCTCCGAGGGGATTTCTTTACGGAGAGGAAATGAGTGCAAGCTTGTGTGCATCCAGGTTCCGTCCAGTTTGTGCCTGGCCCTAGAAAAAGGACGAGGGCCTCAGGGCCTTGGCAGACCATGGGACGGCCGACCAGGGTCTAAGCCAAGGACCTACGGTGGGCCTACGCATAGGGCATAAGCCTCTGCACCCAGTCCAGGAAGGGCTACGATGCGCACATTCATAAAAAATAAAAAAGGGGGAGATGTTGGGAGCCGCGGCCGAGCCCGGTCGCCTTACTTGGCGGACATGAGGCCTGTAGGAAAGAGCAAAGCCTGAGCTAGATTACCCCTCCCATCGAGTATGCTAAGATGGCGCTTACTTCCTGCTTGGTAAACAACCCGCCCTGTAAGATCTCCTGCTTCCTGCTTGGTAAACAACCCGCCCTGTAAGATCTCCTGCTTCCTGCTTGGTAAACAACCCGCCCTGTAAGATCTCCTGCTTCACAACCCGCCCTGTAAGATAGTCTGCCTAGCAACAACTGATGTTAGCCAATCAGCCCGCATCGCGCGCTTTGAACTGATTGGCCACTGTAACCCTATAAAAGTGAGTGCCTCTCCCGCCACGAAAAAAAAGAAGCAGAAGAAGCACGCAAGGAGCCGCGGAGAGCGGACCGGTAGAGGCTTCGGGACAGACTGTAGGGAGAAGTACGCAAGGAGCCGCGGGGAGCGGACCAACAGAGGCTTCGGCCGGGAGGATTCCCAGGGCAGGCTGTACGGAGAAGGAAAATAAAAGAAAAGGTTGTCCACTGCCAGACTTTGTTGTGTGTCCTTCCTGCCGGCCGGGAGTGACACCGACATCACCATATCAGAACTGAGGTTATATTACTGTTAAATTAAGCTGTTGTGATAAAATCAGCATGTTATTGGCAAAAAATAGGCCTGAGGATCAGTGGGACAGAACAGAAGATGCAGACACAACCCCAAACACACTCAGCCACTGTGCTCAGAGACAGTCTCCTTAATCCATGGTGCTGGAGAGCTGGCTCTCCACATGGCAAAGACTAACACGAGCCCCACGCCGATCACCATGCACTAAACCGAAGGTGAGATGGATCAAAGATCTAACTATTACAATAGAAACACTAAATATACGGAAGAGAAAATAGGCAGAACTCTAAAAGACACACGTGTAGGCAGAGACTTCACAAACAAAACCTAGACTGCAAGGGAAATAGTACAAGAATCAACACATGGGGTCCCGCTTTATTAGAAAGGTTTGTACTACTCAGCCATAAAGAAGGATAATCTGGAGACTTCTACAGGTAAATGGATGCAACTCAAGACCACACTCCTAAGTGAAGTAAATCAGACCCATATGTGTGAACACCGAGGTGTCTCCCTAGTGTGAGAAACTGAACAGGTAAATAGGATCTGAAATGTACAACTCATGCTGTAAATTGGGAAGGGACAGTTCAACACAAAAGGCAAACTGTGGTGGAGGAAAGGAAGGAAGGGAAAAATATAAAAATATATGTATACACAAGACAGTGAAGGTAGAGATAGCATTCTCGTTCTTGAAAAGAAAGTTTTGTGCTAATAATGTTTGGACAAGGTATCAGGTCTCTGTCTTGTACTATGAATAATTACCAGGAAGACAGCAATACGCAGGGTATCAACGATTGTCGCTGTCCCAGTAACCTGTTTTGAAAGTCGGTTTGTTATGTTTATTTTTTTTCTTTAAAAAATTGAGATAGAAAGTCATCAGCAGGCAGCTGTGTAGGGAAGATAAATATAGATAGAGCAGGTCATGAAATCCAGACCCTGAAAAGGAGGTCACTGTTGCAGCAGGTGTGAGTGAGCCAGACGTGGCCGGGTCTTTTCTAAGAGTAACAGGAGAAGCAGAGTCTCCCATGTCGGTGGGGCCAGGCGCCCAGCTCCCGTCCACCGGCTCTGGTTTCAGCTGGGGATTAACTCGGCTGAGGCTGCGGCCGTCTGAGGACATCTTTACGTTCAGAGGCTAGAGAATGGTTCCTGAAATGTTTAGTTTTCCTAATACCCAAGCAGTGTCATTAAAAGAGAAAAATGTTCATTCTGTTTAGAAAAATGGCGACTCATTGGAGCAGTGGGCAGCTGGCCGGTCAGCACCTACAGAAATGGTGCCAAGTCCTCAGCTCCTCTGCTGGAATCACAGCGCTTAGATCAGGAAAAGGGTGAAGTCACGGCTGCAGAGTCCTGGGAAGCATCACCACTGGTCTTTATCAGCAGTTTTGTTTTGTTGTCAGGGGTGGATGGACTGGTGAGTGTCAGAGTTTCGTTCTGGTGACTGGTTGTGTCAAGCAGGACACACAGCAGGCCTCGTGCTAGACACATAGACAGCGAAGGAAACAACACACTGCTTTCCTGAGCTTTCATTCCACGTGTGACTGTACAGTGGCCGGGTCAACTGTGGCGGCTGCATGCAGTTCAATGGAACATGAGATCAGGGCCCACGGCATGTGGGTGGCGTATTAAATAGATTCTTATTTGTGGGGAGCGGAAGCTGACTCTGGGTGACCATGAAAGGGCTGGACAGATAAAATTAGGTGGCTCAGAGTGTCACTGGGAGAGCCAGGAAACCAGGGCCGAGGGTGGGCTGCTAGGGTCAGTGCCGGGACACACCGGCAGCCCACAGGGCTCCTCCGCCACCTGCCGCACCTGCGACCCGAGGTGGGGAGGCCGCGGTTGGCGCTGCTGCTGCTTCTGTCACTGAGGAGGACTCAGAGGTGTGGTTTGCGCTCCTGCAGCGCCGGCAGAAGCCCAAGGACGGCTGCTTGGCTGTTCGTAATGTGCTGCTCAGCCAGCTGCTGGACACTGACCGCCAGTGTCACAGATGTCGCTCAGAGCTAAACTAGGGAGCAGGCGAACTCAGAAGGGCGCAGGATACAGAATGCAACAGAGGTAATTCGTTGTAGTTATGCACTTTACCAGTGGGCAATCTGAAGAGGAAATTAAGAAAACAATTCTATTTATAGTCCATTTCAAATGGCACTAGACAGAATACTGTATTTAGGAATAATTTTTTTGTTTTATTTAGGAATAAATTTACCAAGAAAGTGAAAGATTTGTACATGGGAAGCAATGAAATCCTACTAATAAATTGAAGAGATCCTAAATAAATGGGAAGTTATCCTATGTTCATGGATTGGGAGGTTGAACCTTGTTAATACGATAAACGGCCCAAAGTGACCTACAATTTCACATAATCCCTATCAAAATTCCAGCAGAGATTGTTGGCTCAGACATACAAAACCTATCTTAAAATTCACATGGAATCTCAAAGGACTGCAAAAACTCAAACAACCTTAAAGAAATTTGAAAGACTCACAAGTTTCCGTGAAGTTTTATTGACCTAAAAATTATTACAAAGCTAAAGTAATCAGAACAGGTGGTTCTGGCGTGAGGACATGCATTCGGACCAGGAAGCAGACAGGAAGTCTGGGAGAAAACCCACAAACATACACCCAGCAGTTTTCAATCAGATGCTGTCCCCAGTTAGTGAGGTCAGTCTTCCCAACAAGTTATTCTGCGGGAACTGCGTGCTCAATATAGTGAAATGGAAACGGACCTCACCTCACAGCCTATTTAAAAATTAATTCAAAATTGATTAAATACCTAAACATGGGAACTAAAATGATAAAAATATTTGCATGAAGCAGGCGAAAATCTTTATGACCTTGTATTCATCACTGCTTTCTTAAATGTTACACCAAAGCACAGAGAGCAAAAGAAAAAATAAATGGAATTTCATGAAAATTAGGAACTAGCGAGCATCACACGCTGACCTGGCCTCTTCCAGAGCATGGAAAGGAAGCCGGCAGAACGGGAGGAAGTTGTACAAGTCAGGTAGAGAAGGCATTAGTAACCGCAGTGTCTGAGACCCACACAGCGCTGCACCCACAACGATAACCAATCAGCTCAGCCTCACAAGGGCAGAGGGTCTGAGCGGCTGCTCCTTCAATGAAGATTCACAAATGCTGATACACAGTAATGAGATATCACTTCATGCCCTTCAGGATGATTATAATAAAGATAAAACCAAGTGAGTAAGAAGTGGGAGGAGGGCACGCTGGTGCCTTCTGGGGAAGTAAAATGGTTTTCCCTGAACAGTTGAATGTACGATCACCATGCGACCCAGCAGTGCCCAAGAGAACTGAAGACAGAGACTGACACAGACATCTTTATGCCACATTCATGTCAACCTTGTTTATTATTGTTATGAGGTTGAAATAACCCGAGGGCTGTCAATGAATAAATGAAAAAATTAAATATGGTATATTCCTACAATAGAGTCTTATTCCGTCATGGAAAGGAAGGAAGGTATTGCACATATAATACAGCAAACCTTGGAAATGATACGAATTTGTCTTAGGCTGTGTGAGCTTCTATAACAAAATACCGGGGACGGGGACCTTACAGAGAACACAAGTTGATTTCTCATGGTTCTGGAGGCCGGGAAATCCAGTATCAAAGCGGTGGTGGATTTCGTGCCTGGGTGGGATCTTTCTTTACAGTTGAGACCACCTTGCTTCGTCCTCACATGGGGTCGACCCTGATTCCTCCCTGTTGTTCTTGGATAGTGATCGGTGGCTTCCCTTTCGAATTTAAAGGGGTCTCAGAGCAGTCCGGGAGGCCCAGAGCCTGGTGGGGTGGGTGGAAACCCCCCATGGGGCGGGATGTGGGGTGCTGCAGGAGGTGACTTTGTTCTGGAAGGGCAAACGGGCATGGACTGCCCCTGGGACCTTGGGCCTCTGCTGCTGGCCCGCCGGCCTGGCCCTCAGACTGACCTCCCAGTCCAGCACTAGATCCTCCATTGCTCACTTCAGAAAGCCTGCAGCAAAACCCGCAGAGCAAAACCCGGTGCCCTTTGGGTCTGCTTGAGTCTCGTAAGCGGTCTCCTTTCAGCCCGCAGGCACAGCTGCCGCATTCTGATTCACGCTGTCCCTCCACATCGCAAACTCTTCTTCGCCAGGAACCTGGGATTTCAGTCCTTCGCAAGCAGCGGAGCACTTCGAGCGCTGCCCTAACAGCCTCCTTCACCCACGGGGATGGACCTTGATCAAACGGTTTTTAGGGTGTTAGGAGAGGAGGGCTAAGTCCACCTCAGGAAGTCAGAGGTCGTCAGGGATCAGGGCCAGACGGTGTGCAGAAGGCCAGCGCAGTTCCGGGGGGCGCGTGCAATCACCACTGAGCTCGCTCTGCCCTGCAGGCTCCAGAGAAAGGGGTGCTGAGCTCTCCGGTACTGGGTACTGTGCCAGTGAGTGGCAGACGGAGTCCGTGGTGAAGAGGAGAAATCATGCAGACGACAGGACGGACCAGGGCCGACAGGCTGGGTCCCAGGCCCGGGGTTGCCGCTTCTGCCCTGTGACTTCATACATTTCAGATTTCTCATTTGCAAAATGAGTAGCATGAAATGTGAGTAGCATCAAATGTATCAGGTGTTTGTGGGAACCAGGTGAGTTAGCTGTGCTTCCACGCCAGCTGTTATAATATTCCCCTGGCCACCTCTCCCTCTCTCGTCCTCCCTCTCCTCCTCTTTCTCTCTCTGTCTCGCTGTTGAGCTGATCTTTTTAATCACAATGATCAGGACGCCGTAGACTTTCCGATTTGAGGAACAGGTGAACGATTTCCTCCGATGTTCTCTGAATCCACCAGGAAACACTCCGTGTAGGGGAAGGGTGCTCGCTTTGCCTCTGTATTGAGTTTTATTTTCATTTTGGTACAAGATACAAGATTAAATTACACTTGACCAAATTTCAGAGTCAGTTTTTTCTAA